TGACTGCTATTCAATCTATAACAGTGAAAAAAGTGTTTTGTTTTTTTAAATCCAAGCTTTGTGTCACCAGATCTAAGTGGTGGCACTGACTGTAGAAATGGGCACAGTATGCACTGTGAGCCTGACACAGAAGCTGGCAGCAGTGGCAGACAACTGACTGCTATTCAATCTATAACAGTGAAAAAGTTTTTTGTTTTTAAATCCAAGCTATTGTGACACCAGATGTAATTGGTGGCACTGACTGGGGAAATGGGCACTGTGAGCCCGACACAGAAGCTGGCAGCAGTGGCAGACAACTAAGTGCATTTACATTACATAGAAATTTTTTTTTTTTAAAAAGCATACCCTTATCCCTAACCTAGCTATGCTTTTCCCTATCTTATGAACAGCAGCTACACTTTCCCTCCTCTTACTAAGCATGCAGCTTGAGAATGAATCTAAAATGGATGCTGTCCAGTAGGTGGGAGGGTCTGCTAGGGAGGCTGTGCTGCTAATTGGCTGGAATGTGTCTGCTGACTGTGAGGTACAGGGTCAAAGTTTACTCAATGATGACGAATAGGGGGCGGGTCGAACCGCGCATATGTTCGCCCGCCGTGGCGAACGCGAACATGCTATGTTCGCCAGGAACCGTTCGCCAGCGAACCGTTCGGTACATCACTATTTAGGGGTAATTACCGTTTTTTTTTAGATGACTTAAAGGTAGGCAGACAATGTAGCAGGCAGCATGAAATTCTAGCAGAATGCTTGGTTGTATAGGGAGAGGTATTAGCAGTAGAAAGAGGGAAGTGCTCATGCCATTGTACAGAACACTGGTGAGACCTCACTTGGAGTATTGTACGCAGTACTGGAGACTGTATCTCCAGAAGGATATTGATACTTTGGAGTGAGTTCAGAGAAGGGCTACTAAACTGGTTCATGGATTACAGGATAAAACTTACCAGGGAAGGTTAAAGGATCTTAACATGTATAGCTTGGAGGAAAAACAAAACAAGGGGAATATGATAGAAACATTTAAATACATTAAGGGAATCAACACAACAAAGGAGGAGACTATATTTAAACTAAGAAAAACTACCACAACAAGAGGAAATAGTCTTAAATTAGAGGGGCAAAGGTTTAAAAATAATATCAGGAAGTATTACTTTACTCAGAGGGTAGTGGATGCATGGAATAGCCTTTCAGCTGAAGTGGTACAGGTTAACACTGTGAATGAGTTTAAGTATGTGTGGGATAGGCATAATGCTTTCCTAGCTATAAGATAAGGCTAGGACTAGTGAAAGTATTTAGAAAATTAGGAAGACTAGATGGGCCGAATGGTTCTTATCGGCTGTCACATTCTATGTTTCTATGTGAAGAGAATGATGCGGTACCAGTAGACCAGGAAATAGTAAGATCATGTTGCTGTAGCCAAGGTATACCCAAAATAACAGGGAACAATAGGGAAGGAACCAAATCAAAAGTTAAAGTCTCAGAATGATTCCCTATTGACACTAATATTGGTTTAGTTTGTTCGGTAAGTGCCAAGTGGACCAGATTGTAAAAAGGACCCATCCACAAGTTGTATTGGAATGCTTTTATTGTGTACAGGAATGAAAAATGAATGTGCAAGGTCAATGTTCAAGAAAAAGCCACTTGCCCCGGAGTCAATCAGAGCTTCACATGCGTAGCTGCTTTCATTCCACTGTAAGAAAAGGGAAACGGATAAGGGTGGAGTAGCGGTGACTAAAGAGGAAGTTATAGTAGTTAGGTTGATCCACTTACCAGTGGATTTTTCAGGACAGTTTCTCACTGTGTGATTAGGACGCCCAAAATAGAGACATAGGCTTCCTCTCCTTCTTCTTTGTAGTTTGGCCAGGAGTAACTTTCCTTGTACGAGACCTACTTGCATAGGCTCTTCTGTTGAGGGTGTGGGAACCATGGCTGAAGAAGTAGGGGAATAGCTTGAAGAGATGTTTTTTTAAGCTGGGGCATAAGTTGCTGCCTTTTCTTGTCCTCATTTTCTGAGACGTTGGTCTAGTTTAATAGCCTGTTGCATAAAAGCTTCCAAAGTGTCTGATATACCAAAATGAGCAAAGTCGTCTTTTAATGATTCAGACAAACCTAGGCAAAATTGATTAATTAGCCTGACCTCGTTCCAACGTGTGTCTGGGGCATTTCGCTTGAATTATGTTATGTAGTCCTTGACAGGTCTGCGGCCTTGACGTAATGCTCTAATGGCAGTCTGAGCAGTATCCTGTCTATTAGGATTATCACACATAGCAGTCATGGCAGTAACAAAAGCATTCTATGTTTGAACGCTGGGGTCATTAATGCGCAGGAGGTCATGGGCCCATTCTTGGGGTTAACCTGAGAGAAGGGTGATAATGGGGCGCACTTCGACAGCATTACAATAGGTCCTTTGTTTTAAATCAAATAATAGTTCACACGCCATTTTGAAGGAATTATATTTAGATCTGTCACCTGAGAAGCATTCTGGCAAAGACACTTGTGGTTCTGGTGCCACGGAGTGATCTTCTGGCAGAGGTATCAGTTGGGCTGCAAGCAGAGCTTGCAGAGATCCAGTAACAGGGGAAGAAGCATGTTTTCTGTAATTCTTGTACGGCATGCGTTAGTGTGGACCCTCTCTGGTCAGGGCGTTTCGGCTACCTCTGCGGGGTCCATGTTAAGCTCAGTTATTCTGTTGGGTCTTTGACAGGTTGGGCCCAAGAGACAGTAGTGAGCCAAAAGCAAGGTTCAAATTAGGGATAAGACAGTCTTGTAGTCGGGTAAGCCAAGATCGAAGGCAGGCAGCACAGGTTCAGGAACAGTATAACAGGCAGATAAGATAAGGGCTGGATAAAGACAGGATTCAAATAAGTGTATATAGCGAAGAGCACAGTATAACTGGGTTTATATAGGGGAGAGGTATTGGATAAAAAGTGATTAGCCCTTTAAGAAGTTTCAGGTGTTATGTCCCTTTAAGAGGCCAGCTGTCGGGCATGTGCGCCTAGAGTGTGTGTAGTTTACATGTGGGTTTGGCTGAAGCTTCCCGCGGGTCGTGGCGAGCCACGAAGCCACATCCATGAATCACAGGGATGCTGGCCGTCTGTCCTTGCGGTGGGACACATTGGAGTCCTGGACATGCAGTGAGGATGGACCACAACAGGAGTGGACAGAGAAGTGGCGGAGAACCCCCAGGTAAGTGTGGTCATGACAGTTACTCTAGAACAAGCAACAGATGTTGCTAGAGTTCACAAATTGGCTAATACATAGTTAAACACTATTTCAAACAGTATGAGCACTCCATGTGAGCATGCTGTGCCCGCAATCTTCCACTATACATTAACAAGCACAGTTTCAAGACCACATAATACCAAATGCACACAGGATACAGTAAAAAATCACAATCTAGTCCTGTTGCTTCAAGGTGTCTCGTAGAATAAATCTCATATGCGTCCCATTGTACAGCGCTACAGAATTTGCTGGCGCTGTATAAATAATAAAATAATAATAATATCATTCAATCTCTCTGTCCTGCAAAGGGAAAAGTGTGTAAAATATGTGGGAAGTTAAACACTTTTCAAATATTTGGGGTTACAGCCACAAGAAAAGGGTCCATGCAATAAGCAAGATGAGTTCTATAGAAAGATCGATGAGACCTATGAAGGTTTAAATGGATCACAGCTATAGTCAATGACATTCTGATTTATAGAAAAAACAAATCTGAAGATGATAAAAACCTCACCGCTATGCTACAGCAGTTCAGAAAGAGAGGAGTCCAGCTCAATCCTGAAAAGACTATCATCTGTGCTACAGAAGTGAGCTAATTTGGACATCTCCTCACTACTGATGGAATAAAACCAGAAAGTTGTTGCTGTTAGGGACATTGGGCCACCTAAAGGTAAGAGAGAACTTGAGATGGTGCTAGGCATGACTAATGACCTCTCGCAATTTGCACCCAGCCTCGCCGAAATTAATGCACTGCTGTGCCAGATCCTGAAGGAATTATGTGAGTTTGTTTTACGACGCCCAGCATGACAAGGCTTTTGAAAATAAAAATAAAATAACTTCTCACATGTGAACCAGCCCCAGTATTAGCCTACTTTGATCCTCACAAACAGCTCAGGCTACAAGTTAGGACTCTGGGCAGTGCTACAGCAAGAAGGAAGACCTATCGCGTATGCATCAAGTTGACTCACTGATTGTGAAACCATCATGATGAGCTTTGTACCTGCATGGGAAAAGCTGTTTTTGCAAGGCACAGCATTCCAGAGACTGTCATTTTAGATAATGACTCCCCAATATGTCTCAAGCGAATTTAAGACATTTACCAGCACCAATCTAACTTACCCAACACCAACCAGCAGCTCCTGCCAAAGGTTTCCTACAGCAGGGATGTCAAAAACAAAAGGCTGCAGAAGCAATAATATCAAAAGACCTACTATGATAGGTTAGCTAGGACATTGGCTTAGCTCAAGGATGGACAGACAGTTAGAATACAGGAATGAAGCCATTGGCAGACAGCTGAAATCATCAAAGCAGTTAAACCATGTGTGTAATGCTAATGAACAGGTGTATCGTCAAAACAGACATCACCTCCTGGACCCCTACAACACTGATAACAATTTGAGGTATGGTCAAACTGAACCATGCGCAACACCTATCTGCTCTGTACCACTCAATGACAATACACACAAACCTGACCACAACAAAGCATTGTCTAACAGATTTGTCCTGGATCTGTAATTATACAAAGATGTAAGTGGATCACTGCCATAATTATAGATATATATATATATATAAAAATGTGTGTTCGCACAATGGTACCGTATTTAATGTAGTCCTAAAGTTTTGCATAAGTGAATGTTTGAATACATATAGCATGCTAGTATCCTCAGTTTAATGATTTTTTTATGGTACTAGTTTATACATGTGATATTTAATAGCTTTAGATGAGGAAGAGAAATCAAAATAACTGTTGAAGTTCAAGCATTGTTGAGAGTTCCGGTCTACAGTTGAAGGACAACATTCCTTCTGTATGCTTGCACAATATTACTAAAAGTCTGCATGCTCAACTAAAGTTTACTGGCACTCTGAGTATCTTTATACTCCTCATATGATAACAGGATTATTGCACTTTAACTGTTCCCCCCACCTCCATCTCTTTTACTTACTCAAAATAACCAAACCACAGACTTACTTGGTCAAAATAGGCTACTTCTTTATTAAATATCATATATATATATATATAATAGTAATGGTTAGCTACACTCACGGATATTCTAAAACATAACTTTTATTGGAACATTTAGTAGCAGATCAACGTTTCAGTCCCCCTTGTGGACTTTCATCAGGATGATCCTGATGAAAGTTCACAAGGAGGACTGAAACGTTCATCTGCTCTTAAATATTCCAATAAAAGTTACGTTTTAGAATATCCGTGAGTGCAGCCAACCATTACTATTATTTGGATACTGGAGCCCTGGTGATGCACCCGGTCATACAACGTTGAAGCCTGAGTGCAAGGTACAATAGTTTTTTTTTTAATGTGTGTATATATATATATATATATATATATATATATATATATATATATATATCTTCAACATTAACTTTTATAACATATTAACATAATTTACCTTTCTCGGTAAAATAAATGTCACCGAGAACCACCTTGCCAACCAAACACAATCACCTGGGCAACTGCCCTCCCCTCTCTTCCCAACCAGCACAAAGGCCTTTCCTGTGCCTTCCATTATCATAATGCTAACCACTAGCCGATCATTGGCTCAGTGGGCACGTCTGTTATCCATACCTGTACCTGAGGTTAGGGGAGGGATCATTCCCGCCCATACATCTTTTCAAGGACCGCTGGTCCAACCCACAAGCCCCGGTGCTTTACCCCCTAAATCAGTGGGGCCACCCCAACACCACTGCCATGGCCTCCTCTAAAGCATCTTGTAATGCCAGGTTAAATAAATCAACCAACCTCCGTAAGGTGGACCCCGCCACACCGGAAATACATTGCAGCATTCTGCTCAAAGATGCGGTGATGTTCTGTGAGCCCCCCCATACCCCTGACAAATGTGGACACCCTCTTGTTGAGCTTGATCCTACTCCGCTCAACCACCCTCGGGTCCCATGTACCCCGCCAGTAGTTCCTGGACAACACCTCCCACCAAATGATGCAAAGGTTCGGGAACAGAGTAAATAACTGAGCCAAAACCTTTTTGATTGTCTCCCCCAGATCCTACACCAGAACAGTGTCGAGGTCATTACCCCGCAGATGGACAATGAGGACATCTGGAACACAGAGTAGGCGGGCCAACTGAACCATTTCGGGCATCAGGTGAGCTCAGCGCATGCCCTGGGAGCCGAACCTGCGCACGTCCACCAATGCCGGCGATAAACAAAGCTGAAGTTGCCCGGTTCAAACTCCCGCCCACTGCTGTGCCCAATAAACATATGAATGACCGATCACCCTGCACTGACTCTTGGCCAGAGTCTTGGTATGCCACGAGTTTGACAAAGAAGTTGACGTTTTGGAAATTTTTCTCTATTGTGGTCGCAGTGGAGCTTTTTCTGAGGCAGCTGGGACATGACGGGTCTCCTGTCTCCCACACAGTTTGGGACGCACTGTAAAATGTTTAGGCTGGGTAGAGACCAACAGCAGCAATGGAACAACAAAGGTCCGCATGATGGGAAAGGGCATCAGGTGGCCCATGCACTTAGGGACACCTGATGGGTACTGCTCATCAAGGGACCCTGTCAGGTGCACCGGTACATTAAGACTGCGACTGGACCTATTACACATCGACAACATGGGAGGAAGTGACAGCCTATCACTTTCTTCCCAGACATAGAGTGCCGCGTGGAAGAAAAAGAAGGCATAGGCAGGAGTGGGGAGTGAACTGATGCAGATTCCCCCACACATAATCCTAAGCCAGCAGCAACCCAAGCAAGTCAACCTCCTAAATGTAAGCTAACCGGAGCGTAACTGCAAATATACAAATTAAGATGTGTGTATGTGCCCGTGTGTATCCGTGTACCAGTGAGTATCTGAGTGTGTTTGTATGTGTCAGGGTGTGTGTATTGGTCCAAGTGTGTGCATGTGTCAGTGAGTATCTTTGTGTCTGTGTGAATATGTCAGTGTGTTAATATGTGTGTTAGTGTGGTACTGAAAAATGGAGAAACCAGAAATAAATTTAAAAAAATACATACACTTGCGTCACACAACCACTGCTCTTCGTGTATGCAAACAACACCCAGACATTAAAGGGACACTGTAGTCACTATAACCACTTTATCTCTTTGAATTGGTTATAGAGCCTGGAGTGCCCTGGCACTGTCCCTCCATTCAGTGTTGCACCATGTTCGTGCAGTATGCCACAAAATAAGAGTCCCTGGCCACCCACAGTCCAGCCCCTTCTGTATGTGTAGCTAAGGCAGAGATGACACACTTCCTTGTTGTCATACCCATTCATACCGTCAGTTGGAACTCTGACAGGCTAAAAGCAGTCAGCTGACACTCTCAGCCAATCACAGCTGCCCATTGCTGCTCAGGGTAATACTTCCTTATTAGCCAAAGCAGCACAGAGGGGATGGATTGCCGGGGACTCTTGTTTAGCATTAAAACATTACAACATTAAAACCTGTTTAATGCTGATAGAAATGCTGGCACCAGGGGACTCCAGACACTATAACCAGTTTAATGAGATGAAGCAGATACAGTGCCTACGGTGTCCCTTTAAGCACACTGATGGTTGTGTGACGTGTGTGTATTTGTTTTATTTATTTATGGTTTTTACATTTTGCATTACCACACTAACACACATATAAACATACTGACACATTCACACATAAACACAAAGATACACACTGACACATGCACACACTTAGAACCAATACATATACAGATACACACACTGACACACACAAACAGATACACCCTGTGACAGAACGCCATCACGGAGTACCATGCCCACATGTGCCCACCCACTTGTCCAGTCATGTTGGACCCCTAAGAACTTGGACTGTGGACTCAGGGGGGTCCAACAGACTTGTTGCAGGCCTGTCATGGGTCCGGCCACAGGTCTGTCTATTTCTATGGGGGGAGATATGTAATGCTTGGCCTAATTTGTTTGGCATGGGCCACAAGCTTGCAGCACCATTTTTGTAACTGTTTTACATGTGTCTAGATGTCGCTGTG